CTGGGCACTGACCTTGTGTAGTGCTATATTGAGCACCATGGAGAAGGGGGACAGAGAAGAACAATAAGCCATGGCTGTCCTCCAGGAGCCTATGTGTGTGGAAGATAAAACTAAAACTTTTAACATTTCATATAAAACAGTATGCTGACCTGGCCAGTGTGGTGCAGTTGGTTGGAGTGTTGTCCTATAACCAAAAGGTGGTGGGTTCAGTTACTGGGCAGGGCACATACCTAGGTTCAGGGTTCAATCCTTGGTCTGGGTGCCTGCAGTCCCCCCAGTCTGGACACATACAACCGGATCCCAACAATCCCAATAGGGATTGGTTGGGGCACCAATCCCTAGTCTGGGTGCATATGGGAAACAATCAATCAGTGCCTCTTTTTCTCTCGAATCCACATCTTTCCCTTTCTCTCTAAAAGCAATGAAAAAAAAAATGTCCTTGGGTGAGGATTAGAAAAAAACCAGTATGTAATTGAAAACATATTGTGATAATCAAAAGCTTAATATTTGAAAACATTAAGATCAGTGTGGACTTCAGTTTTAGAGAAAACTATGGAGATGGTTGAAACCTGAGCTGGGTAAGATTTGTCCATGTTTTGAGGAAGAGAAAAGACATTGCAATAAGAAAACAGAAACAAAAGAACAAATTTAAGTATAGTATGAGTTGATTCATATATTTGGATTTGAAAGTTCTTGTTGGAGAATAATAGAAAAGTAAAATGTGCTTCTTAATCACCCGGGGATCTTAAAATGCATTCAGTAGGACTGGGATAAGTCAGCATGAACTCTTAATTTGGCCAGTACACTTCGAGCAGCAAGGGTATCAAACCAGATAAAAACAGCATTGTAGACATAGTTATAGCTACAGTCCAAACACACAGGCAGAACCCAGGGATACAGAGTACTCTGGAAGGAATCACACAATCTAGATACCTAGGAAAAAGTTTTGAACCAAAGAAACAAAATTTCAGAACTCTAAACTATTAGTAATTTCTTGATAGTTCTATAACAATCTTACGAGTTTAAGAAATCAGTGCTCACTGTAGAGAAGTCTTTTGCATTTAGTAACTTGATCTCCTGCCAGTCTAGCTTTTCTTTCTGTTATGTTATTTGAGCAACAAAAAAGTTCAAATGTAAATTAGATGACTTGTTAATACCTAGGGAATAGAGAGAGAATACAGTGTTTGGACTTGAAAAATTCAGGGTCTGGTACTTTCCTATCAGTTATCAAATACTACTTAAGTTTTAAGTAGTGTTTTCCAGATTATCCAGAATTATTTTATCTATATCAAGAGAAGAAATTTTGATTTTATGGCATTATCTTGGCATTTTTGCTAACTATAAGGCACAGAAATGTCAGAATATTTTGTGATTATTTTTTCTAATCTAAATGCCATTTTATTTAGCCAGTGTTTTAAATAAATGAATATGTTTACAAATATTTCTTATGGAAAGCTTTCTTTCAAATTTTGGTCTGACAATATCCATGATCATTTTATCTACTAATATATAGATATTTCTGAGCATAAATAGATTCTGGAAAATTATGAAAACTTCAGCAGCCTAGTTATAAATTATTTTAATATTTTGTGACTGTTTTCTACCTCTAAATTTCTTTTTTTTTTTTTTTTAAGATTTCATTTACTTATTTCTAGAGACAGGGGAAGGGAGGGAGGGAGGGAGGGAAATATCAATATGTGGTTGCCTCTTGCATGCCCCCAACTGGGGACCTGACCCACAACCCAGGCATGTGCCCTGACTGGTAACTGAACTCATGACCCTTTGGTTCACAGGCCATCTGTCACTCAGTCCACTGAGTCATACCAGCCAGGGCCTAAATTTCTTTATTTAGCAAATGTATTGAGTGTCCAGTATGCCAGACACTGTACTAGGTGCTAACAATACAAACTTTAATCCAAAAAATCTCATAGTTAAAATGTAAAGAAAAAAACAGTATTTCCTAATATGTATATTAGTAGAAAAAAAATCAGATTCACTGCCCCCCCACATTTACAAGAAGTAAGAGAAAATAAGTTATAATGCTGCAAAGCTAATTATCTTAATGTTAAGATAGAGTACATGGAACTACTTTAGTAACTCCAGCTTACACTTGATGTATAATTCAAGAACATTCTGACAATTCAGTGTGATATTCAGACTTTTGTTTTTTTTTACTTTACTAATGTTAGTCCTTTAAAAAATAGGAAATTGCTGCACGAGTAAATCAGTCAGCTTTGGAAGCTGTCACTCCTTCTCCATCTTTCCAACAGAGGCATGAGAGCCTGCGGCCAGCAGGGTGAGTTACCAGACTGGATTATTTAGAGAACTATGTGGGGCATTGAAAGTGTTAGGGAACACTCAATTTTAGCAGTGCTGCTTAGATTAGCATGAAGTAGTTCCCCAAACAACATAGAAGTTGTATTTTCAAATTGGTAAATTTACCAGTGAGAGTGCTAAGTAAATGATTCCAAATTTTCCTAGTATTTATCTCTAGATTGAGGTGGTTTATATTTTTGAATTTAATAATTGGAAAGAAAGAAGTCTCTTGTTAAATAAGTAGCTATGATTTAAGATTGTGTTTGTTGAAAGTTGTTTTCTCTTCTCTTTGGCTTACAGAGTTGTATTTTCTTTTCTCATAGTTTAAGTGTTTAATTTCCAAAAGAGAAAACTAAATGGAATGCCTTTTTGTTTTCTTCTGTGCTTAGACAATCTCGACCATCAACAGCTCGAACTAGCAGTTCAGGATCTTTAGGATCTGAGTCCACAAATTTAGCTGCCCTCTCTCTGGATTCTCTTGTTGCCCCAGACACCCCAATACAATTTGACATTATTTCTCCCGTGTGTGAAGATCAGTCTGGGCAGGCGAAAACTCCTGGCCAGGGAGGCAGGTGGGTGATGGCATCACAGGCATATTATACTGTAGTCTCTAAGGTTTATGATTCCATTTCTGTGTTTGAGAGTCATCTTTTACATATGTGCATCAGCTGTGTTGTACCTTGTTTAATTACCTAACATAATTTTGATAGTTGGGGGAGAATCATGGCAGATTTTTCTTTTTGTTTTCTGCCTCAGTTAAATGAATTAAGATAATTTAGTTTTAAAAACATTTAATTCTGAACTTGCTTATCATTTCTTAGGTATTTGCTATTAAAATTTCAGAAGAAAGCTGGTAGTCCTATCCTTAGGTCATTACAATATTTTTAAAAATCTTGAAAGTAATGCATGTGCTTTAGATTTACTAGAAAATATTATCTTGTATCAGAATAAGAAATCTCCAGTAAGGTATTAAGTCATAACACTATGAATTAACGAACCATCTTTTGTTTATATAATGAGAAATGTCCTTGGCAGAACATTAAAATTTTTCTTTAGTTGTGGATGAAGGAAACGTGACTTAAGGCAAATTATTTGTTGAGCATGTTGAACCCCTAATAAACTGATAATATATTAATTTAGATATGCTTGGGTGTAACACAGAAAAAGTAATTTACATTTGATCACAGAAATATACTTAGCATTTGACATAATAGGTCAGACGTGTATTGAGGAGATAATTTCATGTTAACTTAATGCCCATGTTATTTTAGAACCACTTAATAAAACTTACTTTGAAGTATACTTTTTTCCCTTCATTGTGGGTGTGCAAGAGCCAAGCACCCTAAGGTAGGAGATAGCTTCCATCTCTAGGGTTTTTTTTTCTTTTGCATTCTGTTAACATATGCCTTGAGAAATACAGGTTTAAAACTAGAAAATGTTCATCATAATTAACTTGCAACATACACTTAGAGAACCTAAAAAGAAGTTTTTACCATCCCAGGAAATGTTTGGCATTTTTCTTTAGTTGCTAAAATTGAAGCTAAATCAGCTGTTTCTCTGTCCAAGTTTATTTAAATTTGTGAACTTTCACAACATGTTTTTTTACAATGTCGATTTGTGTGTGTGTGTGTGTGCGCGCTGAACTTCCAGTCCATCTACTCTTTCTAAAATGCAGCAACAACTCTGAGTTCAGTCTGTTGACCCAATGTAAAGACAGTGGCCTCCCTCAGAGTAATCTGTTCATCAGCAGTGTTCCTTAATGAATGGGGTATTTTAGAATTGTATTTTAAACACATGTACAAGGTTTTGTGACTCTTAGTTTTTAACTCTGGTTTCAGTGATTGATATTCCTTCCATGTGGCTCATTGCAACTGACTGTTGGCTCATAATTTTTTAAAAACTTTTCAGGCGGACAAATCCATTTGGAGAATCTGGAGGAGGTACAAAATCTGAAACTGAAGGTAAAACAGACGTGCTGTATTCACGCAGTATTCTTATGTTTTAGAAATTCTCAGTAGTAAACTGTAAAGAATTTGTTGTTTACATTTGTTCTGCTGTATGCTGTTTTAATGTTATCTTTACTTCACAGTTTTTTCTTTTTACTCAAAGCACACTTAAAGCAACAGAACTTAATTGGACTTAAGATTTTGTTATTCACACAAAATTATAGAATATTATACTTTTGACCTCATAGTCAAAGTCTCAATGCATAACATATCCTTTAAGCTTTTCCTAACAGCAGGTCTTTTCTTCTGTTGCTGGGGCATAACTATTTTTCCCCTTTTTCTAGAAGCTATTTATTTTTAATTTAATTTCAGACTTATAGAAAAGCTGTAATAGTAGTACAAGGAACTCTCTTTTTTTTAGTCAGAGTCACCAATTGCTGAAGCATAATCTTTGCTATTTGAATTTAAGACCTTAATTTTCCTGTAACTTGAACACTGTTAGGAGTTACCTAAATACTTCTGCTAGGTTGAAATTATCACTGGAAAATCTAAAAGGAGGCAGCATATTTTATTCTTTAGGAAAACAAATGTGGGATTTAAAAGTACATAACATACCTTGTTCTGTTGTAGATTCTATTCTTCATCAGTTATTTATTGTCCGATTCCTTGGTTCTATGGAGGTGAAATCAGATGACAATCCAGATATTGTTTATGAAACAATGCGCCAAATCTTAGCTGCCCGAGCCATCCATAACATCTTTCGTATGACAGAATCACATTTGTTAGTCACTTGTGATTGTTTGAAGTAAGTAGTAACCTCTTCCTCAAGAAACTGTGGGAAAAATGTTTATATAATTTCAACCTAATTAAAATTTGTTTTCCAAATTTTTAATTATTATAGGTTAATTGATCCACAGACACAAGTTACAAGGCTCATGGTGAGTTCTACGTGGGTATCTTTGGGCATATACACATCTTATATCTTTATAATAATCCTGATTCTGTATATTCAGATATGGTAGTACCAGTTACAATTGATCTTTATGCTGTTATAGTTAAGTCTATGGCCATCTCTCCAAAAAAGTTAAAATCGAACATTCCATGTAACTTAAAATAACCAGTGCAGTCTGGTATGATATGTAGTGTTTATCCCTGAGCTAGAGAGCATATATCATACAGTAAAGAAACTAATAGTAGGATTTAAAAGGGGAATGTGATTATTTTATAATTAGCAATTTCAATATAGTTGTAAGTATATGCTTTTGTTTAATCATTTCACAATGTGTATCACTTTTGAATTTGACTTGGTAAAATGTGTTAACGGCAATAAAACAAATACAGTATTCAACAGCTTCTTATTCTTCCTGGCAGTCCAAGCCAAATATATTATTTGTCCTTGGATTACCATTTTGTTGAGAAAAAAAAATGGCTCTAATGTTCTATTTAGGATATTTTTTGTATAACTTAGCATGAGTTTGTTGTAATGGCTTGAAAAATCTCATGTTTGCTTCTGATGTTTTTCTGTGGCAGTTTCCATTACCTAGTGTAGTTTTGTATGCTACACACCAGGAAAATAAGAGGCTTTTTGGATTTGTTCTTCGGACATCCGGAGGGAAAAGTGAAAGTAATCTATCATCAATCTGCTATATATTTGAATCAAACAATGAGGGGGAAAAGGTACCTGGCTTTTCAACGTGTTTTCTCTGTTGTGAAATACATATCATAGTCAAAGTTCTTACTAAGATATCTAGAAAACAACGCAAACTTTGCCTAGTGCAGTTGGGTTGGTTGACCAAAGCCTGTTGCTCTGAAGATAGCTGAGCTGATATATTGGGCCTTCTGAGTTCTTTAGACCTATATCTTTCCAGTCATTGATAGCTGGTACAATCTTCTGGCCTCATTAATTTATCCTGGAAATGCAATATATTCCTGTAATCAGCTATTTTCACATGTCTTCAGCTTATCGTAGCATCAGGAGCTGCTTGCTTAATTCTCTGCAGACCTTACTATCTCAGTAATGAAGATGAGATGACAGAGTGGGTATGTTAAAGGGGTGACAGCCAGCAGTCGAAGTTCACAGACTTTGAAGAAAATACACAAAAGGTTGTTTGGGGCCTGGAACATTCTTAAATCAGTTTTTTTTGTTGTTTTGAAGCATTATATTATAATAAATTATACTTTTATCACTTTTAGATTTGTGATTCTGTTGGACTGGCAAAACAGATAGCTTTGCATGCCGAACTGGTAAGAATCCAAAACACTTAGTTATCCAAGAATGTTAAATGAAGTAATAAAGATTTTTCGTATTGGCAAATAAGTAAAATGATTTTGCTAAGTAAGGTTAACATTCGATACTGTTGTTGATTTGGCATTGAGAATTTGGGTAAATGGCTAACATAGAATGTAAATCTTTGGTGCACTTTTCTCATATAAATGCAGAGAATAACTTGAAAAGGTTACAAGGTAATATTAATTGAAAAGTCTAAAATTTAAAGTTATTTCATATTTAATTCATTAGTTGTATTCATCTGTTCTTCAGGATCGTAGGGCATCAGAAAAACAAAAAGAAATAGAGAGAGTAAGAGAGAAGCAACAGAAAGAACTCAGTAAACAAAAACAAATTGAAAAGGTATGCAGTCCTAATGTTTGGATCTTCTCTGATGTGATCTTTGTAAAGAGTTTCCTTAATTCAGCTCTGTGACTTTCAGCTTTGAATTTCCAAGTGAAGGTCTATTTCTGCTTACTCAGCTACATCATAACCAGTTGGTTCATAGCCTAGCAGAAAAGGATGACATCTGTCTTCAGACATGATGTTTACATTATAGGTATACTGACATGCCGAGTAACTTGCCGCTTAGCCAACATATCAGAACTTTTTTGTTCCCATATTCCAGTGAAGGTTGTCTCTGTCAGAGCAGGTCTTCTGAGAGGCTCTGTTATATAGAGTTAACTGCCATTGCTGAAATTCACATTGGCCTCTAGGAATATATATTTTATATATAGGCAATATATAATATATATATTTAATATTATCAGGAGTATCAAATCATTATCTACCCAAATTTTAAAACAAAATCTGAAGAATGCACAGATAGGTGATACATGAGATTGTAAAAGCCAGATATGGGTTGTGGTATTGACGTAGCAGATGAGAGAACTGGATACTTAATAAGAACAGATCAGCAAGAATCGTCAGTGGAATACGGACAAAGGAGAGGGAAGTAGCAAAGATGAAGATGCCCCTGAAGTCAAGGCTTTCTTGATAGATGAGGCCGAGGGAAGATGACAGGTGATTTAGCGAGATAAATTGGACAAAGATGAAGAAGAGGGCATGTGCATTGATCCCTTGTGAGTGTTCTACTGTATAGTGAGAGATGACAATGGCCTGAATTTGATTATTGACCATAATAATGGAGAAGAGGGAAATGTTGGCTTTTATAGGATTTCTAGAATGGAACCATAATTCATTTTGGTGCTGCATTGGTTGTGTGTGGCCTTTCTTTTCAGTAAGTTGCCAGAATTATGCATTACATTTACAACAGAAGGATTAAAGTGGTTCTCAAGTATATATTTTAAATACATAGTTTTTCATTTGATTGCAAACAATTAACTTAGTTTCTTTCTGTCTTTTCCACTAGGACTTAGAAGAACAAAGTCGGTTGATAGCTGCTTCCAGTAGACCAAACCAAGCCAGTAGTGAGGGGCAGTTTGTTGTCCTTAGCAGTAGCCAGTCAGAAGAGAGCGATTTGGGAGAAGAAGGAAAGAAGAGAGAGTCAGAAGCATAAACTTACCCTTGCTTTTGGTTGATAGTTCCCCCCTTCAAATTTATTGACAATTTCTGTGGTGAAATGACACAAGGTAACAACTATGTTGAAATATCAAGGAGGAGACTGAAGTTTATATTTGCTTGTTTTAACTTCATTTTAAAAATAACATTGACCTTGATGACAGATTTGCATTAATTTCTTTTCCTTAAAAATAATAATCTATGCAGTAACATCCAATTCCACATATCTGAAAGAAACCTGTGCATTTCCCTAAAGTAGATTGCTGAGGAATTACACTTGCTCAAGCCTTTTTTCCTTCAAATTGTGATTTTATTATTTTGCATTGTAATTGGCTATTACTATAAGAAATTGTTTCTTCTTCAGCTTCAGATATTCATGGTTATGCTCCCTCTATTTCATTAAGAATGTTTTCTTGGTAGTGAGGAAGCTTTTGACTGAATAGGTTCAAAACCCTTTATAAAGAGAATTCTACAAGTTTGCAAATATTTTAACATATTAAATGTGCAATAGAACTTTTATAAAATAATGAGAAAAGAGATTTTAGACTTAAGGTTTTAAATTGTGGCAGGTGGTACTGTGGATTTCAGGGCACTTTCTTGGATTGTTCACATTTCTCTGGTGTTTTGCACCTGGTGCCATTGGGAAAGAAGCTTGTGTCTTCAGTTCAGTTATTGATACAGCCCTGGGCATTTTATTACCGCATTCTTAGTTCTCAGGTTGGAACTTGAATTATTGCTGCAGAGCAGTAATGGTTAAAATAAGATTCTGGAATTTATTAAAAGGGATTTTTTTGTTAAGTACATTTTAGACTAGGATGTAACATATAAAGATATTGTTACAGGATAATACATTGTATTTTCTGCATTGAGTGAGATAATTTTTATTGAAAATCAAGTGATGTTTCAAAAGAAGTTCTATAACAATTATGTTTTCTGCTTACAGTAAAAATTCCCAGAGATTAGTTTCGAAAATGTAGTCTTCTAAATTTCAGACTGATACACATAGTATTTTCATAAGCCCATGTTTTGATAAAATACTGACACCACTTTATATCCACAAAGGAAAATAACTAATATACACAAATAGAATAATTTGCACTAATTATTGTAAATACTTGTACTCTTCTGATGAGTGAAATGTCTAGCTCCACGAAAGACTTAAAAGGAATTGAATGCTTGGAATAGGAGAGTTGATGAAGGAAGGACTTTAACATGGTGTCAAGGTTAAAACGACATTTCTGTTGCCTACTTCTGTGTCAACACTTGATTTTTTTTCTTTACTCAGATTTTTAATGTTGCTAATAGAAATTATGTTCCTATGTTTTATATGTAAAAGCATATATAGACAAGTTAAGTATATTAAATAAACTATTTTACAGTTATACATTTAAAATTTTCAAGAGATTAGCCACTAAGACTAATTTTACAAGGGAAAAGTCTTTTTTTATATATATATACAGTTTTTCTTCTTAGTTTTGAATTAGAAATGGCATTTATTTAGTTCTCACAATATAGGGTTACTGCTTCACACTGTATGTACAATGTTTTCTGTAGGAATGGGATAGGTAATTATATATAGGGTCATGATCCTCTTTTATCCACATGCCAAATGGGAATAATGATTACTTGACAATCATTATTTTGCAGCCTTAGGTTACCAAAACATTTAGTAAAAAAGTAGAAATTTATTGGATACTTTTTGAAAAAAGTTTATTTTGTGCTTTTAAAGGGAGTGGTTTCACAACAGTCTGTGTCATTCCTTTTATAGAAGTTGAAATTTCTTCTGCAGTCAGCACTTGATTAGTCTTACAAGTCATGCTTTTGGGACCTTTTTGAGAATTAATAAGCTTTCTGTTTCATTAAGTTTTTTGTTCATACTATTAAGTTGTTGACTCAGCTCAGATGAAATTTGTCACCCTACAAGGGAAATAGTCAGCATTAGGAGGCAGTTTTACTAGGCTGGTGCTTTGCAGTTAGCAAAGTGCTGCCCTTTTGTTAGCACTCTGGGTCAAAGTGTTGGGTAGGGTTAAGGGTACCGGAAGGCATAGGGGTGGTGGACAGACTTATAGTTCCTTTAAGTCATGTTGTGATAGAATTTGCACAATAATACACCCATGTCCATAGGTCAGACTAAAGCGCATTCTAACACCAAACAGCAGTCATGTGTGAGTTTAATAATTTTAGGTGATTCACCTTCGGTTCCATTACTGTAGTACAATATGAACTATTCCATTTCTACAGATATTTAAGCATCAACTTAATAAACTCTCTTTTGATTAAAGAAGGCTGCCTGTGGGTTTCTGCATAATGTTTAAATTGGTCTTTTTGTCTGTTACCCTTTGAAACCCCTTCTACCTTTGGGATGCTTTGGTGTTAATTGAATTAGATTTTGGAGTCTCTTAGATTCAAACTTGCACTTAATGGTTTTTATATATTAACAAAGCTGATTCTTTAAAAGGAAGAATTAAGTGTACCTAATTCTGCTATGCACTCTGTTATACATATGAACAGTTCTTTTGTACCTGTGGTAATGAAGTCAATAGGTAGAACACAAGTTATTCCTTCTCCCTTTCAAAATGTTCAGAACTTGCTAATAAGGGACTGAAACTATTACCTTAAACAGAATCCCCAAAGCCAGTCTGGTTTTTGCCATGTCTACAATGATTACTTGGTGTTTAATTTTAAAAGTTATCAGGCTCTATAGTCTAGGGGCGGTAGATTTATTTTACCTTTATGCTTGGGAAAAGGACAGTAAGGTGTGCATAACATTCTATGTAACATAAAATTTTGTGTGGTACAGGCATTGGAATTAATTTTTACTTATATAAAGAAAGTATTTAAGATTTAAATCTTATTATAAATGCTGACAGGCACTAAGAGCACATGTGTTATAAAATCTTTTGCCACCTAAATTAATAAAATGAAAATATTAACATTGGTTTTGACAACAACCTCCTAGCCTTCAAACTGTACTTTAAATATTCAAACACACTGATTATAGCAAGCAAGACTTTCATTTTATTTCTGGCAAGTTTGGTTTACTCTTTCATGAAATTTTGTTCTTCTGTATTAATAAATAATACATAAAAAATTGAAACTGGAACTATATTATACTTTTTAACCAATCTCTTACAGCTGCACTCATATGTAATTTACTTCAGTTAATATAAGAACTAAGATACTAATCTCATTAACATGAGGTTAAGTTATAACTAACGTGTAAAACCTTGTATACTTGGTGATTTTGTAATGTAAGTGAATTGATTCTTATTTTACCGATACTATTAATCATGCAGCATATAATTAAATTCATGCTACATTTACTTTGGAATCGGATTTGAAGAACTCAGCTTTATGTAATGGTGGTATACATGTGGGGTGGAGAACTTATTTTTTCATTTTGTCAAAATAGATATTCCCTGACAAGTCTTCAGGAAATATGCTGTTATGAGATTTTTAATGTATAATAAAGTCTATGGTTTTTGTACCGTCATTTTTGTATGAAATATTTGACATATGTTCTGAATTTTATTTCTCTAATTTCAAATGATGCTTTTAAACAATTGGACTTTTTCTTAATTTGTTATGACAGTATAAGTACACATCTAGCCCCATTGCAAGTCCATAACAGCTAAAATGAAAAAAAAAATTGTCACTTATTGAAAGTAAAACTAATTCATAACTAGTGATGTGTTTTGTTTTTTTTTTAGAAAAATAAAAGAGGAGACTTTTTAGTCATTACCCTAGATATGTTATGGGCAGTGTGACAATGTATACTTGCTATGTTTGGTTCTGCTCAAAGAAATGTCTGTAATTTAAAGGGGCAGGCTATTGTGTACACCAGCTTCAGTGTCTTGGGCCTGTAGTTTTAATACTAATGCATATTCATCCCATGTGCTCTTCATAGTTTCCTGTAGCACTTACCAAGATCTTTTCTTCTACCGAGAGTTTCTGTTCTCTCTTGTTTTGAATTTTATAAAATGTATATACACTTGCAGAAGGCCCAGGGAGTGGATGAAATTAACTTTAGAATTATGTAATTTATCTGATATAAGTGCATGTATCTCTTAAATATATTTGTAATATATTTGTATATTGACATACATATAATTCACTGGTCACTTACAAACAGATACTATGATTTGATTTAAAAAATAAAAACTATTTATGCCAGCCAGTTTTGCAATTTTTTATGTGAAAACTGTATTAAAAATAATTCTAAGTCTGTGCTTACTCAGACAGTCTATATAGCCAGAAATTCCTCCATCAGAAAGAAATGTAACTTCAGTTTACTGGAGATGGACTACATTATGCTAAAAAAATATGCTAAGACTAAATGTGTAAACATCAGGCTGTACCACACTGGGCCCGTGGTGAAAGTAGACCACATCATCCTACCTTTCTGTGCTTCCTGTCTTGACATGCCATCTAAATGCTACACGGCTATGACTGAGTGAATGTCTTCTCAGTTTCTTTCCTCCCTTTCCACAAATAGAAAACTGTACTTACATACAGCATAGACTATATAGAAATAAAACTTTAAGATTCCATAACTGCTTCTATCAGTGAGTCCCTCCTATACATACGTCCAGTACAATATAGAAATTATAAGCCATCATCTATTTGAAAACACTTGTAATTTCTATTCTGGTGATCACATTAACCAATAAATGATAAACCTTAACCATGGTTTTGTAGAAAGAAGGGATGCATATTTCTCGTTAATGATGAAATTGCAATTGAAGGTTCTATTACAATTATATTACCCCACCTCAATACTAGACTCAAGTAAACAGATGCTAAGCTGGCCTCAGGACTTTTGCATAAGAACAGCTAACTTCAAGGTCATGTGCTGGAGTTCATATTTATTCAGTGCAATCACTAACACATTTTACATATATATTTCTCTATAAAAAGGATCACTGTTCAGAATTATCTCGCATTATCAGAGGTAGCATCTATTGAGCATGTAGAAATGTGGATTCATACACTTAAGTACTTCAGTTAATTGAAATTTTTACTGTTGGTCTTTTTAAACTGCCTTTCAGATGCTAGCCATCTATTTATTGAAAAGCTAGTTCAGAGCAATTCTTTAAAGAATGTAGATTAAATTGAGATTTAAGTTGCTGGGAAAAGTGAGAAGTAGGAGTCACCTGTAACAAGTCAAATTTTAAGAAATATTAAAGAACTATACCTCTTCAACCAGAATAGTTTGGTTACCACGTTCCTGTAAAATTTCCTTGTCCATAAAGGTCATATTCTTGGTAAAGGACATACGCTTTTAGACGATTGGGTAACGGAAGAAATGACATGAAGATGGGGCAACGCAAATGCAAACGTCCCATACACTTCCGGATCTTTAGGCGGCACAAGTGTTTTAGGGAGCGAGGGTTTGCTAAAATGAAAGAAACAGTTGCCCATTATCTAAAAAGTAAAAATTGATTTTTTTAGTAATTTTGTATTTTGTTATATTTGTTATACTTAAGCCACAAAGCTTCTCATTTGCTGTGATTAAATGGAAAAGTTAATAGGGAAACAGCTCTTTATTTCCCATTCAACCCTTCTTATAAACATGGTTTCATAGCCATGTCAAGTTAGAGTTCAAAGACTGGCATCAATTGTGAGTCTGGCCTTTGAGGCCTGAAGTTCTTAAATCTACACGCATTAACCCCTACCACATCTACCCAATCCTGTCCCTCAGGGTCAGACTAAAAACTAAAGATCACTACTCAGGAGGAAATGAAATGAAAAATTCTTTGACTTGATGTTTTTCTGGAAAGAATTTGGTTTGAAGGATTACTTGATATCCTGTAGGCTTAGATCTTAGATCTCTGTTTTTATTGCCATTTCATAGCTTTTAATTCCTATGTCTACATTGTTCCATAGGATTAGTAGAAAATATTACCTGCCTATATAATAAGTAGCTACCTAACATTTTATTTACTGGGAAGTGGTAATAAGTACAAATTAAGAATAATTATAAATGAACACTTTTTAGATAGGAGTAGTATTTTCCTTGGTTTCTTTAGGTCAAGTTTTTAATGAAGAATGGTCTACAAAAAAAAATACAATTAGTATTTTTGTTAAGAATCTTCTATAAGAAAGAAAGATACTCACTCAAGATATTATGGATTTCTGACCAGAGCCCCTGTTTTTGGAGCACAGCTTTCAACTTTGAACAGATCCGAACTTGATCAACATAATCAAGCATCACTCGAACGACCTTTCCAGAGAGATGTTGCAGCCATGACAAAGTTATTACTTCACAGAACTGAGGAAGAAAATCAGAACTATGAAAGTAAATTAAAACTAAGTATGGTTTAGCATTAGTAATCAGAAGAGCATTAAAGTCAGAGTCAGAATCCATGTTCTCAAGTTTCTCATTTATAAACAGGTGTTGAGCAAGAATATCTATTTGTAGCTCTAACGTTTGGAAAAAATACTACTATGCTTTCAGAACTATGTGAGATGTAATGAAGATGTGAAAGACTTATATAGTGTCTGTTACCCTACTATAGTATTGGTTGGCCACGTGGCTGTCTGGCATAAAGACTGCCTTTCTGGCTTTACTTGCACCTAGATGTGGCAACCCGAGTTCTAGCCAATGAGGTGTAAGTGGAAGTGTGAACAATCCCAGAATGCCCTTAAGGAAGTACAAGGTGTGTGCAGGGTTCTCTTGTGAATCATGGAGCTGTTTAATTAGAAGGCTGATTACTTCTGGCCTTTATTTATTTGAGAGGGGAATGAGCCATCTTATTAAAGCTACTCTTATTTGGAGTTTTCTATTATTTATAACCTATTCCCTCCCTGTTACTTGAGGGATATGATCATTTCTGTCTTTAAGTAGCTTACATGGTCTTACAGAAGATTTCCATGTAAGAAGTCAAGTAATACCATATGAAAAGTCAGGAAATAATACAAGATATGTGCCTAAGTACCAAATCCTACATTAATCATAATTTAAAAATAAGTCATACAACATTACAATATTTTGCCTTTCATTTTTCAGAATTCATTCAAAGTACTTTCTCCACTCAGTTTATTTTTATTTTCATGTTAATATGAATTCAAGTACCTCTACTGCATGTACTGTGTTCTAAGCACATCTATAAATTGAGGAAAGTGGTGAACAGGAGCTTACATTCATGTTTGTGGGGGAGACAATCTTTTTCTTAAAGAATTTTAGCAATAAGTGCTATAAAAGAAATGAACAGTTTTATAAGAGAGTGATTAGGGAAGGGAGCTGCCTTATATAAGCGTCTGTATGAAGAAGTAATGCTGACTGGGACCTGAAGGGTGCAGCTATTGTGAAAAGTTGGAAGAGCTCAAGGTGGGCAAAGTGGAAGTCCACAATTAGGTAGACGAGTGTGATGAAGGCCAAGAGAAAAATGTCTGAAAGACAGGATGGTCAACTATTTATTGCAGTTCTTTACTGCAATTCCTTTTTTCATCAAAAAGGTGACTAAAGAAAACCATTTAATCAAATGTTAGGGCCAAAAGAGCCAAAAAACCTAGTACAGGTATTGTGAACCCAGAAGCATTTTAGTTAGATGACAGTTATTCAAACAAAAAACATAATGTATACAAGACTTCATTCATTCTTGAAAACATTTCTCAGATGTTTTATGGGTGAAACTCCCTGGGTTGAGTTAAATTAGTTTTTTTTTTCCTGAACTGTTTCTATACCTTTTACATCTTTCTACTATTGTGTTTATCATATATTAAATCTAACAGTGAGCTTCTGGAGAGAATGAATGGAGTCTTACCTATTGCTGTAGTTCAGGGCCACCGATAATGACTATATAAGGTGATACAGCCAATACTGTGGACTTACCATAGTATCTTTGATAACTGTAGATGTCCAGCCCTCAAAAGTATAGCAATGATGAACTCTGTCTCCATGAGGACAATCAAAGCATCGTTCTGTGTCATACCCATAATTCAACAGCATCCTGAGCATGACTTCATCTTTCAGTGTGTATTGCAGTGCTGATGGGAAATGTAATGGGTTGACCCTGCAGAAGTAATTTACGTTGGCCCCATGCCGTAACAGCAGACTTATCAGCTCATAGTTGCCCATCCTTAGAGCTATCTGGAGGCAGTTAACTGGGTCTTGGTTAGGCAGGGCTCCAGCACTCAGAAGCAGCTTAACTGAAGAGAGGTCACCATTTGATACCGCAAAATACAGAGCTGACTTCCTATGGTCATCATAGTGTTTGCGAATTCTCTGATCTAGCATGAAATTTACATCAAATCCAGCCTGGATGAGAAGTTCCAGGCACTCAGGGTGTGCTCCTGCTGCAGCACAGTGAACTGGACTAATTCCACTCCGCTTAATGGCAGCAAAATCTGTAACTGGAACCAAAATCTTCAGAGCCCTGAAAAAAATTTCAAAGTGTATTTAAAAATTGTTTTTTTTTAATATGCAGCATTATCATGTTTATGATTGTTTTATACTAGCACTAGATAGTATTAATATTAGGTGGTATTGAGAACCCCCAAACAAAAAACACAGCTCTTGAATCCAAAACTTCAGATACCAAGTAAAACTAAATGAAACTACTGTCTAGATTATAAACTCAGAATTGGCCTGGTCAGTGAGACTTGTGTCTCCTCATATTGCCTAAGGACCTGATAATAAAATAGTTTTATGTCTCTTCAGTGGCTACAGAATACGCCTGACTTTATCACTTTCTAGCTGGTTAAGAGTTTATCTTTAAAATGGGTATTGGAGTCCTGGCCAGGTGGTTCAGTTGGTTAGAGCGACATCCCAATATGCCAAGGTTGCAGGTTCAATACTGGGTCAGGGCACATACAAGAATCAACCATTGAACACATCCATGAGTGGAACAGCAAATCAATATTTCTCTTTCTCTCTCCTTCCCTCTCTCTCTTTCTCTTTTTCTCTGTCTCTTTAATCAATAAATAAAAGTTTAAAAGACGTATTGGAGTTATAAGGTCAGAGATGAAGAATATAAAGTTCCTGGAGCTGCTCCCCCCAAAGTAGCTAATTCTTATTTCTATTACTTACAACAATGTAACAGAACTTACAACAAGTGGCCTCTGTCAGCTGCCACATGAATGGGGAGGTGGCCTGAATTCTTAGGGACATTGGCATCAGCTCCATACTGTAGCAAGAGAAGCACGGAGTCTGGATTTCCTCCACTAGCAGCTTCAAGTAAGATGGAAGAAGAATCAGAGGCCCGACCAAGAGCATTAGCTCCTAAGAGGAGAAAGAGTCTTGTTATGCTAAAAGACTTTTCCACTGCTGTTACTTAAGTATTCTTAAAAATATATCACCACCACCAAAAAGCAATTATTGAACAGCAACTTCAGCAAAGCACTAAGAATCGAAGAAATAAATGGTACCTCCTGCATAGGCAGTTTATAATCTATTTGGGGAGGGAAAAAGGAGTGCAATCTGTAAATTATAAGCAAGTTGGCTTTCAGAGTGATTTTATGTTATTTATTTGAAACTTGAAAATTTCAAGAGGAATAATTTTATAAAAGGTTGTTTTATTTCTAGACCAACTTAAAAAAGCCCACTGAATTCATAACACACTTGTATATAGGATGGTACTAACAATTCTGTTGAACTATATCACTGTGTCATCTATGGATGGTATGATGGAAAATGGCATTAATTTTTTCAGTTGATCTTAGGGGAGGTGCACAGAGTGGGGGGGGGCGGAGAGGGAGAGAGAGAGAGATTTGTTGTTCTACTTATTTACCCATTCATTGGTTGCTTCTTGTATGTGCCCTGGCCAGAGATCAGTCCCACAACCTTGATGTATCTGGATGGCACTCTAACAAACTGGGCCACTTTTCTAGGATGGAAAAGGGCATCTTTCTGTATTAACTTGTTCTTAGGGAGCTGGTCATAGTAAGAGACATAATTGTTTTAAGTTGATGTTGGAGACTGCTGATGGTTAAAAGGATAAATTGTAGCACATTGTATGGGAAGTGTTATGTGAGTGGTGTGGGTAATAAAAGAGTACAGGCATATCTCAGAGATATTGTGGGTTTGGTTCTAGGCCACCACAATATAGTGAGTATTGAAATAAAGTGAACTGTAATCCTTTTGCTGGTGGAAGATCCTGCCTTCAATTTGTAAAAAAAAATATCTGTGAAATGCAATAAAGTGAAGTGTAATAAAATGAGGTATGTCTGTATAGGTATAGGCAAAATGTCTCCAGAAGATCTCAGGGCCAGGGTTGTGAGGGGAACTAGGGGCTGAAGGGAAGAGAAGAGTTGAGGGTCAGCTTTGGAAGATCTCTCAGTAAAATGGGCTTTAAAGAAAGAGTGGCATTTGAATGGAAAAAAGGAAAGGAGAGCATTCTGGGTACATTCACAGCTTGTATAAAAAAGATGTAGTGACTTTAATTTAGCACAGAGTCCATAGTCATCAGAATATAGTGGCTGTCTAAGGACCTTATTCCTGTAACGCAATAAGAAATGTCTAGCCCTGGCCAGGTAGGTCAGTTGTTTAGAGCATCTTCCCAACACTCCAAGGCTGTGGATTCAATTCCAGGTCAGGACACACATAAGAATCAACCAATGAATGCATAAGTAAGTGGAAAAACAAATCAATCTTTCTCCCTCCCCCTCTTTCCCTACCCCTTCTCTTTCTCTACAATCAATGAAATAAAAATAAAAATGAATGTCTAATAAGCTTCCATGCAATGAGTTTTACTATGTAATGGTTTCTTTATATGCATAATAATTTCTGAACTTTACAATACCCTAAGAAGTAGATGCTAATATCTTTATTTTAAAGATAAACTAGACTTCCAGCCAAGATGGAGGCATAGTTAGACACACTGTGCCTCCTCACACAACCAAAAGAAGGACAACAACAAATTTAAAAACAAAAAACAGCCAGAACTGACAAAAAATCAAACTGTATGGAAGTCTGACAACCAAGGAGTTAAAGAAGAAATACGTATCCAGACTGGTAGGAGGGGCAGAGATGCACAGCTGGGTAGAGAGAACTCAGGGCAAGGCAGTGGCTGGAGGACTAGGTGAGGTGGTGGCTGGTGGACAGGGCAGTCCCACATTTGCATGCAGATAAACCCGGAGGAACAACTGGGAAGCGGTACAGACTGCAAAATCGAGGGTTCCAGCACTGGGAAATAAAGCCTCAAATGCTCTGATTGAAAACACCTGTGGGTGTTAAGGCAGCAGTGGGAGAAACTCCCAGCCTCACAAGAGAGTACATTGGAGAGACCCCACAGGGTCCTAAAATGTACACTAACCCACCCAACTGTAATCAGCACCAGAAGGGGCCAATTTGGTTGTGGGTAGTGGGGGAAGTGACTGAAAACCAGCAGAGAGCAGAGCAAGGGGCACTGTTCCCTCTCAGACCCCTCCCCCACATACAGTGTCACGGCACAGCAATGTGGGTTGCCCCACCCTGGTGAACACCCAAGGCTCCACCCCTTACTACATAACAAGTGCAACAAGACCAAAAAAAAAGGTCCAAATGAAAGAACACTTCAAAGCTCCAGAAAAATAAAACTAAGCAACGAAGAAACAGCCAACCTATCGGATACACAGTTCAAAGGACTGGTAAACAGGATGCTCACAGAATTGGTCGAATATGGTCGCAAATTAGAGGAAAAAATGAAGGCTATGAAAAGTTAAAGAAAAATGAACAGAGAACCAACAGTGATGGGAAGGAAACAGTGATGGCAAACTGTTGACTCAAATCAACAGTTTGGAGCAGAAGGAAAAAAGACACATTCTACCAGAACAGAATGAAGAAATAAGAATTTGAAAAAAATGAGGAGAGGCTTAGGAACCTCCAGGACACCTTTAAATGTTCCAACATTCAAATCATAGGGGTGCCAGAAGGAGAAGAGAAAGACCAAGAAATTAAAAACTTATTTGAACAAATAATCGAGAACTTCCCCAACGTGGTGAAGGAAATAGATTTCCAGGAAGTCCAGAAAGCTTAGAGAGTCCCAAAGGAGTTGGACCCAAGGAAACACACAATAAGGCACATCATAATTACATTACCCAAGATTAAAATGAAGCAGAGAATCTTAAAAGCAGCATGAGAAAAGGAAATAGTTATCTACAAAGGAGTTCCCACTAGGCTAGCAGCTGATTTCTCAAAAGAAATCTTATAGGCAAGAAGGGGCTAGAAAGAAGTATTCCAAGTCTTGAAAGGCAAGGACCTACATTCAAGATTACTCTATCCAGCAAAGCTATCATTTAGATTGGAAGGGCAGATAAAGTGCTTCCCAGATAAGGTCAAGTTAAAGGAGTTCATCATCACAAAGCCCTTATTATATGAAATGTTAAAGGGACTTATCTAAGAAAAAGAAGATAAAAAATATGAACATTTGTAAAATGACAACAAACTCACAGGTATTAACAACTGAACCTAAAAACAAAAACAAAAACAAAAACAAAAACAAAACAAATTAAGCAAATGTGACCAGAACAGGAACAGAATCATAGAAATGGAGAGCACATAGAAGATTATCAGCAGGGGAGTGGGAGGAGGAGAGAGGGGGGGAAAGGTACAGGGAATAAGTAGCCTAAGTGGTAGGCAGAACATAGACAGGGGAGGTTAAAAATAGCATAGGAAATGTAGACACTAAAAAACTTATATGTATGACCCATGAACATGAACTAAAGGGGGGGAATGTGGGTGGGAGGGGGTATGCAGGGGAGAGGGGAATAAAGGGGGGAAAATGGGACAACTGTAATAGCATAATCAATAAAATATATTTTAAAACAATAAAGATAAAGAAACTGAGGCTCAGTGAAATGAAGTAACTTCCCCAGAGATGCACAGCTAGGGAGCAAGGTAGTCAGGAATTGTGTATAGGTGCGCCACACCCAGGGCCCATTTCTCTGATCCCATGTTACCACTTGAACAATGCAGGGTGGCAAAGTAATGTGATTTGGAATGAGGCAGATGTGGGTTCAAATCTTGGTTCTGTCATTTACTAGCTATTCACTTAATGTGAATTATTTCATAAGGGGTCACTTAAGGGAAATGCTCACTCACTGATCTTACTTAGGTCAACCAATGCTAGTTACTTTGAAGGGTTAGGATTTAAAATCTGTTGGTGCTCCTCTTTCTTTATATTTTAATCAATGATCCATAGAAAAGATTAGTTTTTTGTAGCTAAAGGATCCAATGTTTAGTTTTATTATTCTACCTAATGACTTTCATCCCTAATATTGCTCACTTAAAACAGCTTAAGATGATTTAGGGCTATGTATTGGAAACTAGCCTCCCTATATGATAGGAAAGATTTAGGTAAGTCTAAAAAGCCATAGGTTGTTCTTAAATATAGGATTTCCTGCAGTCTAGAATATTGGAGACCAGGACCATGTATTATAGAAGAAAGAAATGAGGCTTCTGGACACAAACAGAAGGGAGGAGAATAAAGGAGATAATTCTAATATTGGCACTTTATTAAGTCTTGGTAAAAATTTGCTTCTTTGAGGAAAAGAAAGCTTTAGATACAACTTTGCTTCATCTCACTGTCATTGATGGGGTCTCCTCAAAGACAATAAATGCCAAAGTCCTGTGAGCATACGCCTCTGCCAGTTAAACCAGGATTTAAATAGCCACAGCTGTAGCATTGCTGGCAGGGGAGGGCATGATTGAAGGAAGTTCTGCAACTGGTTTTGTCCCTGACCCTCTCTTCCCTCAAGTGTAAAATGAGGATAATAAATACCTACTTCATCAGGGTTTTAGAAGATTACCTGTGACAACATAGGTAGCCTAATACTTGGTGCTTAGGAAGTATTTAATGAATATGTTGCATTACCCTTCTCTCAGTTTTGGTTGTTACTAGAAGGGAGAACTGGGACCCAAAGTAAAGAAATCAGGAAGAACTTCCTAACAACAAAAGTCATCTGATAACAAGATTAGACTGCCTCATGACTTAGCTTAAGCAGAGACAACATGTAGGGGATGGCATGCGTTCTTTCCTTCAATGAATCAAGAAAAGGGAAACATGAAAAAAGTTAAAACAACCATCTTCTCAGCATTGTTGGTGGACATTAAGTGAGAGAAACCTGAATGCACTCTAGTAATTTTAGGGAAAGTACTTCACACCAAGTAAGAAATATCTAACTTCTGACTATTTTAGGCTTTTCAGTAGCCAATATTAACATATACTTCCTTCAAAATTCATATTGGGCTTAAGTAAAACGTTAACTTCTATTGTTTTGGAGAGCTCCATAAAGAGAACCCTTGAGTCACATTACCCTATGGAAATATGATGATTGTATAGGCAAACAAGCAAGCAAAAAAGAACCAGAGAAAGTGAAATTAAGAACAAACTGACAGTAACCAGAGGGGAGGTGGGAAGGAATAATGGGGATGAAAGGGGAAAGGCTGGTCAAGGAACATGTATAAAGGACACATGGATAAAGCCAAAGAGGGGGTACGATCAAGGGTGGGAGGTAGAGATGGCTGGGGTTGGGGAGAGTAGTCAGGAGGAAATGTAGACAACTGTACTTGAATAAAAAAAGAGAAAGCAATAAAGCATTTTTAAAATAGAGTAAGATGTGAGCAACTGAACTTGCTGTATGATTATCAAAAAGAAAAAAGAAAAAAAAGAAAATGAACTTAACTGATATATATATAGAGCCTTTCATCCCAAAGAAGCAAAATACATATTCTTTTCAAATGCACATGGAACATTTTCAAAGATAGACCACATGATAGGACACAAAGCAAGCCTCAACAAATTCAAGAAAATCGAAATCATATCAAGCATTTTCTCTGACCACAAGTGACTGAAACTAGAAACCAACCTTAAGGAAAAAACTAAAAAACACTCAAACTCATGGAGATTGAATAGCATACTATTAAACAATGAATGGGTCAAAAATGAGATCAAGAAAGTAAACAAAAAGTTTCTGGAAACAAATGAGAATGAACTCACAACAATCCAAAACTTATGAGACACAGCGAAGGCAGTCCTGAGAGGGAAGTTCATAGTGATACAGGTCTGCCTAAAAAAAAAAAAAAAAAAAGAAAAGAAAAGAAATGTTTCAAATAAACAACCTAACCCTACACCTACAAGAACTCGACGAACAACAACAAAGACAGCCCAGAGCAAGCAGAAGGAAGGAGATAACCAAGATCAGAGCAGAATTAAACAACATAGAGACTAAAAGCACAATTCTAAGGATCAATGAATCCAGGAGCTGGTTCTTTGAAAAGATAAACAAAATTGACAAGCTTTTAAGCAGACTCATCAAGAAAAAAAGAGAGAGGACCCAAATAAACAATCAGAAATGAAAGAGAGATTACAACAGATACCATAGAAATACAAAGGATTGTAAGAAATTACTATGAAGAACTATATGCCAAGAAATTTCAAAACCTAGGTGAAATGGATAAATTTCTAGAAAAATATAATCTTCCAAAACTCAATGAAGAAGAAGCGGAAAGCCTCAACAGACCAATAACAACAAAAGAAATTGAAGCAGTAATCAAAAAACTCCCAACACACAAAAGCCCTGGACCAGATGGTTTCACAGGAGAATTCTACAAAATATATAAGGGAAAGCTAACCCCTAACCTTCACAGACTATTCCAAAAAATCCAAGAAGATAGAAGACTCCCTAACTCTTTTTACAAGCCAACATCTTCCTAATCTGCAAAAAAGAAAACTTCAGGCCAATATTGCTAATGAGCATAAACACTAAAATCCTCAACAAAATATTGGAAAAGAGCATCCAGCAATACATTAAAAAGATCATACACCATCACCAAGTGGGATTCATCCCAGGGATGCAAGGATGGTACAATACTTGCAAGTCAATAAATGTAATACATCACATAAACAAGAGCAAAGACAAAAATCACATGATCATATCAATAGATGAAGAAAAAGCATTTGATAAGATACAACACCCATTTATGATAAAAACACTCAGCAAAGTGGGAACAGAGGGAGTATTCCTCAACATAATAAAGGCCATATATGAGAGACCTACAGCCAACATCATACTCAATGGGAAAAAACTAAAATTTTTCCCACTAAGATCAGGAACAAGACAAGGTTGTCTGTTTCACCACTTCTATTCAACATAGTACTGGAAGTCCTAGCCACAGCTATCAGACAAGAAAAGGAACTCAAGGGCATCCAAATTGGAAAAGAGGAAAAAAAACTGTCATTGTTTGCATATGACATGATAGTGTACATAGAAAATCCTATGAACTCTGCCAAAAAACTACTTGACCTAAAATAAATGAATTTGGCAGAACAGTGGGATGCAAAGTCAATATTCAGAAATCAAAGGCATTTTTGTATACCAACAATGAAATATCAGAAGCAGAAATCAGGGGAAAAAACCATTTGATATAGCAACAAGAATAATTAAATACCTAGGAATAAACCTAACCAAGGAGGTAAAAGATCTGTACTCAGAAAACTACACAACAGTGAAGAAAGAAATCAAGGAAGACACAAACAAATGGAAACATGTACTGTGTTCATGGGTCAGAAGAATTAACATCATCAAAATGTCCATACTACCCAAAGCAATTTATAGATTTAATATGATACCTATTAAAGTACCAATGGCATATTTCACAGATATAGAACAAACACTTCAAAAATTTTTATGGAACCATAAATGATCCTGAATAGCTGCTGCACTTTTGAGAAAGAAGAGCAAAGTAGGAGGATCACAATATCTGATATCAAACTGTATTACAAGGCCATTGTAATCAAACAGTCTGGTACTGGCATAAAAACAGGCACATAGACCAATGGAACAGAACAGAGAACCCAGAAATAAACCCAAGGATCTATAGTTAATTAATATTTGACAAAGGGGGTAGCAGCATAAAATGGAGTAAAAATAGCCTCTTCAATAAATGGTGTTGGGAGAGCTGTACAGCTACATGCAAAAAAATGAGACTCGAGCACCAACTTATACCATACACAAAAATAAATTCAAGGTGGATAAAAGATTTAAATATAAAATGTGACACCATTAAAGTCCTAGAGGAGAACATAGGCAGGAAAATCTCAGATATTTCATACAGTAACATTTTTACTGATATGTCCCCTAGAGCAAGGGACATAAAGGAAAGAATAAACAAATGGGATCTTATCAAAATAAAAAGCTTCTGCATGGCTAAAGAAAACAGCATTGAATGAAAAGGGAACCAATTGTATGGGAAAACATATTTGACAATGATACCTCAGACAAGGTTTTGATCTCCAAAATATATAAAGAACTCACATGACTCCACTCTAAGAAGACAAGCAACCCAACTAAAAAATGGGCAAAGGACTTCAACAGACACTTATCCAAGGAGGACATACAGGGTCCAGAGTCATATGAAAAGACGTTCAGCATCATTAGCTATCAGAGAGATGCAAATTAAAACCACAATGAGATGCCACCTCACACCGTTGAGAATGGCCATCATAAACAAAGCAACAAATAACAAGGTTGGAGAGGTTGTGGAGAAAAGGGGTCCCTAGTGCACTGTTGGTGGGACTGCAGACTGGTACAACTACTATGGAAAACAGTATGGATTTTCCTCAAGAAACTAAAAATGGAACTGACTTTTGACCCAGCAATTCCACTGCTAGGATTATATCCTAATAACCCTGAAACACCAATCCAAAAGAGCCTATGCAGCCCAATGTTCATAGCAGCACAATTTATAATAGCCAAGTGCTGGAAGCAACCTAGGTGCCCATCAGTAAATGAATGGATCAAAAAACTATGGTACATTTACAGAATGGAATTCTATGCAGCAGAAAGAAAGAAGGAGCTCCTGCCCTTTGTGACAGAATGGATGGAACTGGAGAGCATTATACTAGACGATGAAAGACAAATACCATATGATCTCACCTTTAACAGAACACTAATCAACAAAATATATAGCAAAATATAACCAAAGATGCTGAAATTGAGAACAGGCTGACAGTGACCAGAGGGGAGAGGGGAGGGGATTACAGGGGAAAAGGGTGAAGGGTTTGCAAGAACAATCATAAAGGACACAAGGACACAGACAATAACAAGGCAGGGTGGAAACAGGGGAGGGAGGGCAGGAGGGCTGGGGTAGTGGGGTGGGGGTGGGGGGAAAAGGCAGAAAACTGTATTTGAACAACTATTTAAAAAGAAAGAAAGAAAGAAATGAAAATCTTGCCTTTCTGAAGTAACATTTCCATAATTTCAGTGTGCCCACTTTGGGCAGCAAGAGCAAGAGGAGTGAATCCGTAGGAGCTCTGTGGGTCAGGTTGTGCCCCAGACACCAGCATTAGCTTCACCATGTTCTGTCTGCCCAGTTTGGCTGCTTCATGGAGAGCTGTCCTCTCATTGGCACACCGCAGATTGACATCTGCCCCATGGCTGATCAGCAAAGCGGCCATGTCGTAGGAGTCTTGTAGAACAGCTGGGAAATTAGAAGGGAGGCAGGCATTATGTTCAACAGGAAATGAAGGCCAGAGTGCCCCGCAGGCTTCTTAATCCTTAAGAAGGATCCTTAAGAAGGATTAAGAAGGATTTTCCTACCTAACCCCCTGTGCCTGCATTTTGTGTTAGGAAACGTTGTAAAATGAGGTATATGTCAAATAATATTAATAGTGTTTTATATCAATAGGCCATTTTTCTGTAAGTCTCAACCAATTATTCATTGTCTATTGGTTTACGTGGTTGAAAAACATAAACATAAAATTTTCATTTGTCGTTTTTAAGTTTCAAGAGAATTGGAAGGTAAGTACTCAATATATAGTCCTAGAAGAGCTTATAGCTACTTTAAAAGAAGAAAAACAAAAACAGCTATAATTATGAAATTACTTTTATGCTTGTATTTTGTAAACCAAAATTCTCTAACTGATTTTTCTGCATTTATGCTGTTAATCTTTAACCCTTCAAGATTCTAAAACACTTTAATTTATTCATCTGCCTATCTATTCACTAATTATTGGCATCGACTGAGGACTCTTGCTGGGTGCCAGATGCTGAATCAGTATGCATTCTGCTCACAATCATTTATACTGTGCCATAAAAAGTACTCTAATTGCTCTAAGACTGGAAATATGGAGTGCCAAGGATGTTGGGTCATTTTTAATTCAGTGAGCCGGTACTTAGTGTGCCCTTTCTTTCTGGAAACACATGTCCTTTATTTTAGGAAATAATTTTCTTGACTTACTTCACTGATGCTATATTGCCTCCATCTTGCATGTTCTCTTTCTAGCATTCCTATTATTCATCTGTTGCTCCTATTGGATCATCTTTCTAGTTTTATTTCTTTTTATTTTCTGTGCTCCATTTCTTATCTTCTGGAAGCTTTCCTAAATTCTATCTCCTAGCATTTGTTTTGAGTTTTTATTTCTGCTATCATATTTTTAATTTTTAAGAGTTTTTGTTTTGTTTTATTCTGTGCTTTTTGGTAGTATCTGTTATTTCATTAATTTTCATTAATTTCTCTGAGGAAATTATAATTTTCCCTGTGTTTTATTATCCCTAAATCATCTCTTTCCTGAAATTGCTTATATCTATTTCTTGAAGACTTTCCTCAGATTGTCCTTGGCTATCTGCTCATGGTTAAGAGTTGGGGACTAAAAAGCTTATTGGAAATTCTAAATATTGGGTTGGACTTATAGACTGTGGTCTTAACTATAGCTTGATATGCCCGGGCCATTTGTAGGGGAACCCCCAATTTCACCATTTCATCTTTATTTCTTTCCTTTTGGGCTGATCAAATTCTCCAGAGAAGGCTTCTCTCAGAGCATAAAGTTCTGGCTGTAGCTAATAGAATCCTGGTAGAAGAGGAGGGCTGGGAGGTCTCAGCCTATATTTGCTTAATTCCTCCGGTGTTTTCAATCCAGTACTCCCACCGTTGCCTAATATCCCCCAGTGCATAAAACCTCTGTTTAAACTATCCAGAGAATAAACCTACAGAATTTTGCTGTGGTAGGGGAGGAGTCTGTCCCAGCAGGGTGAATTGGGAGAAGTGATCTAGAGATCAAACTACTTGTGTCTTAATGGTTTTCAGCCAGTCCTCCTATTGTAACTGTCTGTAGCCTTCACCTAGGCTCCATGAGGTAACTATTGCCAATATTTTTTCAGGCCTTTTAATATAATTGTGCTGTTGTTTGGCTTTTCCCACTACCAATTTAAGATTTGGCTTTCTTGTCACTATTCATCCATCTGTTCTCCAGGTTTTAAAAAATCATGTTGTCGGCCCTGACTGGTGTGACTTGGTTGGGCATCCTCCTGCAAAGCAAAAGGTCACCAGTTTGATTCCTAGTCAGGGAAGATGCCTGGGTTGTGGGTTTGGCTCCCAGAAGGGGCGTCTTCCAGAGGCAATTGATTGATGTTTCTCTCCCTGTCTTTCTCCCTCCCTTCCCCTCTCTCTAAAAATAAAGTCTTTAATTTAAAAAAAAAAATTGTGCTATTGTCTCCTCTCCTATTCTCATTCTTTTGTATCTTAACCCTTTAAAACAATTACTTAACTGTAATTTAACTGAACATTCAGGAGGGAACAAAATTACGCATTTGTATTCAATCTGCAATCTTTATCTGACCATTGACTGCTTCTTTCTGCTTTGCTCCCTTCATATATTTCTGGCACCAGAATTAACTGGATCAACTGAGGCACCATGCAAAATCATCAGTTCCTAACTGGGCAGAAGTTTTGCATCAGGTCAGGTACCTGTGTCTGGCCAGTTGGGATCAAGTGTCAGTGCTGCAGCTATGCACAAAAAGCTGCCTTTGAAACCTGTAGGCTTCAGGCAGGTTTCAAAGGAAGAGAATCAGAGCCCAGACTCTTCAGAGACAAGGTATTAATTTACCTGTAATAAGAGGAGAATTGCCTTCAAGATTCTTGGCATTTGGATTGCAGCCATTGAGAAGAAGAAAACTGGCATTTTCTAAGAGGTAATTGCTGACAGCCAAAAAAAGTGGTGTTTCACCATTTTGGGTGGTTTGCTCCCACACACTGGGTTTTGAAGCTGAAATAAATTCGTTAGACCACACAGATTAAGATATAAAGATAAGTTTTATATGTATTTCTCAGAAGCATCAGAAGGGTTATAAAGGGTGTCTACCTTTCAGGGTTATTTCCAAAATGTTCTTATTTAGCTGCACTGCAGCCTTATGCAGAGGAAGCCAGCCTATCTCATCTGCTTCATCAAAAGCAGAATGGTACTTGGTCAAGTGTGACAATGCATCTTCCTCACCTATTAGCAAGTCAAATGAGAACAGATTCACATTTGGCATACATACAAGGTAGCCTGGGCTGCTTCTGCATTCTACCATCAAGGTCAGGGCATAAGGCAACAGACTTCTATTACCACCTTTTTGGAAAGACAGATTTAAATGGCATAGGACAAACAAGTTGTAAGGCCCTTCATCTAGCATTCCATACCACCAGGGCCTGTGAATACCTATCATCTTGTCACATACACAAAAATAGCTCTGTCCACCAAGAAGCCCAGGAGCTCTTTGCTAATTTGTGCTGAAGTATTTCCTCCCAGGAAAGGCCACATCAGATTTGACAATCGGCTGCAGAGCCCGGAGTGTTCATCATTTGGGAGAAATTGCTTCTAGGCTTTCTGACCTTAGAGGGAAATGCTGCCAGTTGTCTTTGTTACCTCTTACCTCAAGTTGAATGGATTAGAATAGGAAGAGTACTTAACTGTCTGTATTGTTTCAACTATCTTCTTACAGTCAGTGCTCATAAAGGAATGGAAGCTGCATGGGAAAAAAACATACGTAATTCCAAAACTTAGGAAAAGACTAAGATATTTGACAAAAACAAAAGGAAAGTGTAAAGGCAATGGTAGTTAACAAGGGATGAACTCTTACATGAGGCAATGACTGAGGCTTAATAGAAATACATACAAAATGTAGTGTTACCATTAACATGTATATTCTGTGGAAACTCCTCTCCCATGTCTATCTTCCCTTGTTATGGCAAGAACCGTGTCAGAGCCTGAATCACAGTAAGCCCTTAATCAATATTTTCTGAACTGAATCAAACCTACGTAGGACTGAAATGTTACATTATCACATGATAAAATTTAATGACCAGAATTTGTGCTCAGAAAACACTATTAGCAGTTTTTAAAGTAATACTTTTATTAAAATATTTAAAAATAAAGTTTTCAGCCCTGCTGTGTAGCTCAGTTGGTTTAGAGTGTTGGTCCAATATGTCAAAGTTGTGGGTCCAATCCCCATTCAGGTCACATACAAGAATCAACCAATGAATGTATTAATAAGTGGAACAACAAATTGATGTTTCTCTCTCTCTGTCTCTTTCTCTTGCTTCCTCTCTTTCTAAAATTCAATAAATAAAAATTTAAAATACAAAAAATAAAGTTTTAAAAGTCACTTATGAATACTGTATTATTTTTAAATCTACAAAATAAAGATTGTCACCTTCTCATTTTCTTTGATTATTCAATGAACCCAGCTTGCAGAGAATAAATTCCCTTACATGATCTGTTCTACTTGTAATTTGGTCAGTAAAATTCTATTAAACCTTTGAAATTATATTTAGAGATTTAGTATTGTATTTGTTTTTTACGTCTGCTCTAAGAAATTACCACACACTTACTGGTCTAAAATAACACAAATTCATTACAGTTCTGCAGTTCAGAAGTATGAAATGGGTCTCACTGGGCTAAAATCAAGGATTGGGTGGGCCTTGGGGAGAATCTGCTTCTGTGTCACTTCCAGTTTCTAGAGGTCTCCCACACATCTTGGGTCATGGACACCTTCCTCCACCTTCAAAGGCACCATTGTTGGGCCATATCCTTCCACCCTGCTATCTCTCAGGTTCTCTCTCTTCTGCTTTCTTCTTCCATTTCTAAAGACCTTTGTGATTGCCCTAGCCAGGTGGTTCAGTTGGTTGGAGCATTGCCTCAGTCACCAAAAGGTTGTGGCTTTGATTTCTGGTCAGGGCACATACCTAGACTGTAGGAGGCAACTGATCAATATTTCTCCCTCTAATTGATGTTTCTCCCTTCCTCTCTCTCTAAACTTAATAAACATATCCTTAGGTGAAGATTTTTTTTAAACATTAGCTTTTTTTTAAAAAAGATTTTATTTATTTATTTTTAGAGGGGGAAGGGAGGGAGGGAGGGAGAGAGAGAGAGAGACAGACAGACAGACAGACATCAATGTGCGGTTACTGGCGGTTATGGCCTGCAACCCAGGAATGTACCCTGGCTGGGAATCGAACCTGGGACACTTTAGTTCCCAGCCCGCGCTCAATCCACTGAACTACGCCAGCCAGGGCTAGGTGAAATTTTTTTTTTTAAAAAAAGGCCCTTGTGATTACTGTACATTGAGCCCACCTGGATAATCTAGGATCATCTATTCATAATTTTTTTAAATTGACTTTAGAGAGAGGGAGAGAAACAAACATATTGATTTGTTGTTTTACTTATTTATGCATTCATTGGTTGATTCTTGTATGTGCCTTGATGGGGTTCAAACCCACAATCTTGGTGTTTTGGGACAATGCTCTAATCAATTAAGTACCCAGCCAGGCCTAATCTCTTTATTTTAAAGTCAGTTGAATAGCAACCTTAATTTTATTTGCAGCCTTAATTCTCAATGGCAGTGATTTTCAACCTTTTTCATCTCAGAACTGCTAATTCATTTATTAGTAATAAATTACTAAAATTCTGCAGCAAAAAATATAACATATTTTATATTACAAACTTAATATAACAAATATAACATACAAAAATATGTTATATTTTTGCCAATCTTAAAAAATAGGTATAATTTTGATTTATAAAAAAATAATAATAATGATTACCTACCCTTTTTGTTCCAAAGTGACTTTTTAAAGAAATCAGTTGGCTAGTCTTGTATATAAGGATTTCTGTCACCAAGAGTTAACCAATCAGACACAATCTTATTATGTGGCATGACCAATAAGATGCAACTCTGTTATATGACCTATATATGTATGGCTCAAGACAGGGCTTTCACACTGAATGGCTATTGTATGATAATCTAAGGAAAAGAGGTCAGTGCCCCTGACTAAATAGTAAGGTATTGCATGTTATAAAAATTCTTGCAGCACACAGGTTGAAAATCACTGCTCTATTGCCATGTGAGGTTATATATATACACAGATCACCATCACAGCAAACAGGGTTTATCACTCCTGAAAAACAACAGTAACTCCTAGAGAGCTGAGGTTGCTGATCAGCCAGAGAGCATTGACAAGATGGGCTTTGCTGCAGACAGCCTATCTCCAAGGCAATTTTCTAACATCGTGGGACCATGGGATCCTTTTTGTGTGGTCATTGCAGAACTCTAAATTCACACTCTTCAGAAGAAGTTAGTTAGTCTCTTCTGGGTTTAAGTTTACATAGTTTCTCATTTTGTTCTGAGCAGATTAAAGACTGGACTTAAACCCACCCACCCCACTAAGGTTGAAGATAACTTTCTATGTGTCTTAGTTGTATTTATGCATTTCCTTAGTTCCCCAAAGACAACATTCTTTAGAATCCTGTAGCCTTTCATATTCTCATGCATTTCTTCTTTCTGATTTTCAGTCTGCATCTCCTCACCCTGATTTGCTGCTAAACTCCTTCAACTGTTTTCTTTACTGCCTAATTAAATTGCTAATTATTTCCAAAATTTTTCTGTCTTGTGAAGCATCAAGTCTTGTAGATATTTGAAGTATATAGGCAGCTCCTTAATTCTGACCCTCCTGTTTTTTGGTCAGAAAACTAGGGTCAGGCTGATAACAAGTCTCATCTGTTGACTACTTATACTACATTGCCAATGAGATATCATTACCTCTCATCCTCAGGTGCCTGCTGTGTAGTTCCTGGCTTGTGAACATCCTGTAAACTCTGATGAATGATGAACTGAGTATCAAAGTCATCATCTATGTCTTCATCACTGGTGTAATTGTCCATGTGAAACATCTACTCTAAAGTCAGAATGAGTGAATGAATTTTAATATTTTTTAAAAATTAAAAATATTTTTCTAGTTGTGAAAACAGATTATCAACTGCTTAAAATTATAAATGGAATTCAGAAAACTATAAATTTGATAGGATTGATAAATGAGGAAAATGCAAAATTTAGAAAACAAGATACTCATTTAAACATTTTTTATGAACTTAAAAGTTTTCTGAACTGTCCCAGATTTAACGTAAATTAGAAGTTTCCATGATTAACCATTTACTTAAAGTTTATTCAGGAAAAACATCCTTTCATATAAAACTTAGGTCAGTACCATTGTAACTTTGGAAATGTTCATATTGATTTATTTTAGACTTGGCTTATGAGTTTTTCTCCGTAATTGTAGCAATCACCCCTAAAACATCTTTCATGCACACAGTTAATGTTATGCTGGAAAATATGTTAGTTAGTTAGTAAATACTAAAAATAAACACGTCATGGGAATATATGTACTCTCATAATGCAACATAATAGGAAGAGTGGTAGTAAAAAAGCAATGTATTTTAGTAGACAATATCTCAATTTTTTTTTAATTTCCATTTTAGCATAGAATAAGTCTGATTACATACCAAAGACTTTTTACCTTTTGTTATCACCTTTAGGACAGCACTGAAGTTTTTGTTGTTGAAGATTAGCACATTGGAATTTTCATTTATATTTAGGATCTCCACTCCCCTGTAATGACGATTCCATTAATAGCTTTTCTATAAATACTTGATCATAAGACAGCCTGGCACATTCTCCTTGTTTTTTACATGTGGTTTAGCTCTGTTTGGAAACACGATCTCTTTTCTTCTCTGCCACATTTATCAAATTTAAAGAATTAAACATTTTATTTCAGGGACAAAATACTTTTGCATCTTTATCCATGTGAAGTGAATTCATTCTCTTAAGACTCATGCACACAGCCACTGCAAACCAGAATCAATTTTCCACTTAAGAGAGGTCAAACATTTTGCTCAGATCAAAATTTCAAAAGTGAAAATCAACAATTGTAATTCACTGGGTTGCTGTACCTACCTTTCTTTGTATTACAGAGCTGTAACCTAAAGTATCCTGAGACTCCTAAGGAAGGAATTAATTCCACACAAAATAATAAAATTTTGACTATAATTTTAATTGAAATATTTTAAACTGCTAATGTACACTAATATTATGAATGCATACTAATTAAGAAGAATATTAGCTATTAAAAATAATGAGACTACTTGGCATTTATAATGAAATATGAAAACCACCTCAGGTGTGCAGGATTGACTTCCAGCCATCTTACTGCCTTTATATGTCCAGTTCACTGCTTTGAGTTTCCTTGTCATAGGGATATTGTGAGAAATGGAAGGATACTGTGAGAAATGGAACTGGTGTTTTAAAGTATAACATAAGGGGTTGAGTTTTGGAATTGGTGTAATATTTTCCTTACTATTTATTTATGTATTTTAGATGGGTATGTGTAATCACTACAGGTAAGTGAGCAGAAAGTAAACTGTTACTGGAGCTAAAGATATGACTTTACACTTGTAAAAAGAGATGTTTTCTAATATTATTTAATTTTACCCAGTTACTCTTCCCAAATCTGTTTTTCACATATATATCTAACAAAAAAAGGACCAAATAAAAGTTTCCAAAAATTTTTTATGTGCTTCAAAGAAACATTTCTTTTATGTTCCTTCCCACAGGTATCTATGATTTCAACAGTCCATTTAGAAGGCTGCATTCCAAGATGGAGGTGTAAGTAGATACACTGCCTCCTTACACAACCAAAAGAAGGAAAACAACAAATTTAAAAACAAAAAATAACCAGAAGTTTCAGATAATCAAACATCATGGAAGTCTGACAACCAAGAAGTTGAAGAAGAAACATTCATCCAGACCAGCAGGAGGGGCAGAAAGGACTCATGGCAAGGTGGTGGCTGGAGGACTGGGGCAGGTGAGGCAGTGGCTGGCTGACCCAGTGGTCCCACATTTGCATTCAGATAAACTGGAAGGAACAACTGGGGAGCGAGACAAACTGCAAAACTGAGGGTTCCAGCACTGGGAAATAAAGACTTAAAACCTCTCACTGGAAAAACTTGTGGGGGTTGCAGCAGTGGGAAAAACTCCCAGCCTCATAGGAAAGTTCATTGGAGAGACCCACAGGGTCCTACAACATACACAAACCCATCCACATGGAATCAGCACCAGAAGGGCCCAATTTGCTTGTGGGTAGTGCAGAAAGTGACTGAAACTGGCCCAAATCTGAGAGAACGGCATTATTCCCTTTTGGACCCCTCCCCAACATACAGTGCTATAAAGCAGCAAGGTGGGTTGCCCTGCCCTGGCAAATACCTAAGGCTCTTCCCCTTACTACCTTGTAACAGGTGTGCCAAGACAAAAGAAAAATATTCCAAATGAAAGACCCGATCAAAGCTCCAGAAAAAAATACAACTAAGTGATGAAGAAATGGTGCAATCTGTGTACCTTACAGATGCACAGTTGAAAACACTGGTAATAAGGATGCTCACAGAAATGGTTGAGTATGGTTGCAAAACACAGGAAGAAGTGAAGGCTATGCAAAGTGAAATAAAGGGAACCAACAGTAAAAGGAAAAGGAATGGTACCCAAATCAGCAGTTTAGAACAGAAGGAAGAAATAAACGTTTGACCAAACAAGAAGTCAAAAAATGAGGAGAGGCTCAGGAACCTCTGGGACAACTTTAACCATTCCAACATCCAAATCATAGGGGTGCCAGAAGAAAAGGAAGAGCAAGAAATGGAAAACTTATTTGAAAACATAATGAAGGAGAAATTCCCCAATGTGGTGAAGGAAATACACTTCAGGAGGTCCAGCAAGCTCAGAGACTCCCAAAAATGTTGGACCCAAGGAAGCATACACCAAGGCACATCATAATTACATTACCCAAGGTTAAAGATAAGGAGAGTATCTTAAAAGCAGTGAGAGAAAAGGGGACAGTTACCTATAAAAGAGTGCCCACAAGACTATCAGCTGATTTTTCAAAAGAAACCTTTCATTCAAGAAGGGGCTGGGAAGAAGTATTCGAACTCATGAAAGGCAAGGACCTACATCCAAGATTACTCTATCCAGCAAAGCTATCATTTAGAATGGAAGGGCAGATAAATTGCTTCCCAGATAAGATCAAGTTAAAGGAGTTCATCACCACCAAGCTCTTATTATATGAAATGTTAAAGGGACTTATCTAAGAAAAAGAAGATCAAAAATACAAATTGTTAAATGAGAACAGACTCACAACTATCAACAACCAAATCTAAAAAACAAAAAAACAGAAGCAGACTAAGCAAACAACTAGAACAGGAACAGATTCACAGAAGTAGAGATCACATTGAGGGTTATCAGTGGGGAGAGAGAGGGGGGCAGAATTGGGGAAAAGGTACAGGGAATAAGTAGCATTAAACGGTAGGTACAAAATAGATAGGGGTAGGTTAAGAATAGTACGGGAAATGGAGAAGCCAAAGAACTTATATGTAGGATCCATGGACATGAAGTAAGGTGGAGGAATAACAGTGAGAGGTGGGGTACAGGGTGGAGGGGAATAAAGGGGAGAAGAAAGTGGGATGACTGTAATGGCATAATCAATACTATATTGTATTTAAAACAAACAAAAAAAAAAACGAAGGCTGTATTCCAATCAACAGTGATGTATCAGGGAGGGTGGCAATGCAAAGACCTTTCAAAAAGACAATTTAAGAATGTTACCAAGGTACTTAGTTTTATTATATATATATGTATATATATATCTATATATCTTGAAGTGTGTGAAAACACTGGGTTGTTTTTTTTTACACATCAGATGTTTTCTTAAATTTGTCCAGTTTAGTCATCCAACTGACAAAGCAAAGCAACCCCGCGCTTAATCCAGTGTTGAGTAGGTTGGTCTGTTTTTAACAACATCGCAATGACAAAATTAGTAGAATGTCCTGTAGTGGAAAGAGTTCCTTTCCGTTCACTTGTCTTGTAGAGGGGACAAATGTAGGCATTCGACTTCACAATCTCAGACTTTTTAGCTTAAAAAAAAACACAAAAACAAAAGAAACATGTTCATTTGGTAAAGGAAAAACAGGCAGTGGTACTAAAGAACAACTATTTTGTAGTAAAATGGCAAGTACTAAATCTTAGATTATGGTTATAATATTTGAATACTTGTAAGTTGGTGTTTTAAAAAAGTTTTATAGTAATTATAGTTATGAAATAAGGAAGTGATTTAGTATGGTTCATGACTGTAGGTCTAGAGGACAGGAATTGATTTTAAGGTCCAGATTATTTACTAGGCAAGAAAACACTGAAGTGGACTTGGGAGAGAAGGAGTATGAGAAGGAGAAGGTAGGGAAGAAGGAATAAAATACAGCACGAGTAATGGGAGAGATGCAAAAAAGGAGACAACTGCTTAGAGCTCTAAAACAGGAAACCCTAAATTAGAAGTTGAAGTTACTATTTGTTTACAGCAGATTATTATAAGAAAACCACACCAATTCTTACCTACTCACAAAAAGAACTTATATACAATCCTTGAAAAGTTAGGGATGAGATATTAGGAGTCTTTCTAAACTAAGGTCATATTTCTCCTAGTTATAAATTGAACTGCATTAATAATAAAAATACTTAATGGGTTGGGTAGTGATTATGGGTGATTTGTAAATCTTTTCATTTGCAGTTACTTGAGAATAAAAAAATTAGAGAAAAAGAGAAAACAAAAGAATGAATTTCATTTGTTCAGACTTGTGGAAAATGACAGCAGGAGGAGGGAAGGAGCAAGTTGTTTTCCCAAGGGAGCATAAGTGGCCTGCACCCCAGTGGCTTTGGGGCACCTGGCTGACTCCTGTGCCTAGGCATTTTTTATAGCCAAAAAACTCTATTTGTGTCTCTGAGAGGTGTGCAAAGAAAGGCACTTGAGAATCAAAATATTGATGGGAAGCTCTAGACTCTGAAAAGTAGACTGGTAGGGGAGAGGCAAAGAAAATGTTACATCCCAAGGGGTAAGAGCAAAAAAGAGACAGAATGATATTCCTAAAATAATGTAAATGCAACACAAAAAGGGGGAACCATATATTTCCAGTGTAAACATTGTCTCTACTTACTGTAACTGGACAAAATTCTGATAGGTTTGAGCAGAGACTTATTTGGGGGAACAGTTAAAAATATCTATCATTATCCTCCCTAAAACTATAAGAAATTTTGTTAGAAGTATATTTACTTGGTTTTATCCATATGATGGGCATCAGGTCAAACAGAAGTTTGGGATATTGTTCAGCAAGTAATCCACTGTGAAGAGAAATTGAGATATATTTATTAGACATAAGATGAAAATTTCTTCTTAGAAATTACTACTTGGATAGTTACTATAAGAGATAACCAGAGATAGCAGAAAAAGAAATGTAAAAAAAAAAAGAAAGAACAATAACAACAACAACAACAACAACAAAAATCAAACCCAAGGAAGAGGCAATGAAGAATTGAAATGAAAGTATGGAAAGGCTACATGTACAAACAGCGGACAAATATCAACTCCTGCCATTTTTAAAGTACTGCCCATGAGGTAGACACTGAGCTACAACATTTTACCCTCACAATAATCTTGTCCCCATTTCTATTTCACAGATAAAGAGTGGAGGCTCAGAAAGGTTGAACAGTTTTCTCATAGTAA